GAGAGAGAGATGGAGAAAAAGAGATATGACGAACGCTATTATTACGGTCGCAGGTGGAAGACCGATTAAAGTGGCGGTGCGCCAGGACTTGGTGGTGGAAGGGCGGGGCGGGGCGGGCTGCGGCGGTGTCCGACTCGGACTCGCGTGAGGTTCGCGCCGGCGCGCCGCGCGCTCCGTAACGAGCTCTTTTAGTGCCGAGCGGTTTGGCCGCGAATGGGCCGCTTCCTGGTAGACGCACTTACGCCTCCGGAGCCTCCCAGCCCTCGGGGCAGGCCGGGCCGCAGGGCGCGCGAGGCGGGCGCGGGCATCGAGGAGCGGTGCGAATTCCGCGGGTTTTCATGCGCAAAAACGGACGGAGCGCGGGAGGAAGTGCGTGCAATCGGCGCTGCGGCGCTGGTGAGAGACTTGGGGCGGGGAGCGGACCAGCATTGGAGCGACGTGTCACTGGATTCATTCAAACGTAAACTCTACTACACGAAATTGTTTAATCTTTTATTGTACTGCAAAACGCTGACTTGGCCTGCCTCTATGACGGCGCCGTGTTTTGAGATTCAAATTCGGCCTTACCTCCGAAAAATTTTCATACTGTTGGCTTCCTTAGAATGACAAAATAATTCATTGTTGGAAGGCAAATGCCGAAATTTTGGCAAGCAAAGTTGTCACGTCCATAAGGACGTCACCATGGTAATTATTACTTACTTCTAGTTGTAGACGACGCTGACTAAAATGTATTTGTTTGTCTGTTTCAGGATATCAACAAATGCCTCGGATTCACGGTGAGTCTCCCGCCACTCAAGTATTCACAAGTACGCATTTTTTCCTGAATATACCTTCAACTTCCATGTATTCAGTATAGTGTGCTCATGCTTAATATGTATGCAGAAAATGGTGTGTAAATGAACATGCATACAGTAAGTAGTGTGTACATGACACATGACAGTGGACACAGCTTTTTCCCAAGTTATGTGTGCAAGGATTGTGTACATGGTATATATGCCCATGAGCATAAAAACTATTTTCTGCTTACACGCGCATGAACACACTTTTTACTGAATACATAGATTTGCAGAGCAAGTAACCTCTTCCTGATGCACAAAAATTGATTAATTAATAAACGCCCCCCCACCTTTCCGAAAAAAATTGTAGATCACCTCTAAAATACCCCTCCATCCCCCAGAAGTATTCAGGTTACATTATTTCCGGAGACAGTATGTGCCAGTCGTCTGGCTCCTTCGATCGCCCCCGCCCCCTCCCCGCTCCGCTCGTGCCGCCGCACCCCGCCCAGCTGCACCCCGCCCCGCCCCAGCCCGCCAGTTTACTTACCGAGCCACACACGTTTGCTCCCGCAGCTGCGATAACTTTCGCTTTCTCGCGACGGGCGAGGCGGGGCTCGGCGGGGTGGGGCGGCACCCGTAATGTGAGCACTGCATACAATGTCATCCCATCACGGCGGCACGGTGGGGTGGGAATTTATTCGGGGTCGAGGGTCGCCAGGGGGGCCTACTCATGTATCGGTCATCAGGACTTATTGGCCGTCACGTCAAACGCCAAATCGAATTTATCCGCAAAACCGCCGTCGTTCTCAGCGTGGCGTGGCAGCGGGAGTGTTTTGTACGTTGCACGTTTTTAAAATTAAAACGCACATTGTACTATGACAATTTGACGAAATCAACCCCGGCGTTAAAAGGATCTGTGAGCGAATTGGACTTAAGACAGTACTGATTTGGGAATTGGGTCACAGGTACGTGAGTGAGTGAACTGCAGTTGACAAGTAGTTTTCGTGCTTTGCTGCCTTCGTTCCCACTTAAAATGTAATTTATCTGCTGCATAAATCTGTTGTAAACACTGTCGTTTCCTCACGGATGTGCTCGTAAGGAACGGAAAATTTCAAAGGTATCGTACTTGACCAGTTCACACTATTGCAAAACTACATCAATGTTTTCAAAAGGCCTTTTTCCTTAATTCAGAATCGCCTTCCTTTCAAGTAGCATGCAGCATGCAGTTGTAGCAATACTGTATGCCATCCCTATTTACATAGAAAACGTGTGGTTTTTTCAGTGTTCTGTGAACTACCCCTTGCCCGTTATACGTTGTCTCGGTTTCCCCTTTCTTTCTCACTGCTAGTGCCACTACCGCCCACCACCGCCTCAACCGGCGAGATATTTACTTCCAGGAATAAATCATGCAAATCTTGCAAATAATAAAATGGCCCAGAGCGCCTAATCGGCGAGGAATCAACGGGAGTCGAGAGTAGAGGGCGAGAGAGGCCTCGGGATAGAGGCGCCGGCGGTCCATGGGAGCGGCGCCGAAGGCCCGGCACCCAGCGGATGTGTGGGAGTGAATTGAACTTTGAAATATTAGGAATTTCTAATTATGATTGTGTAATGTGTCCTGTATGGTGTAGAGTTTTAGAAAAGTTATTGCCAGATATGTGGAAGAAAGCGCCTGGTGAGTAGGCAAGGGTTTGACAGGGGCCCTGTGCGGGTGGCCTACCCTGAGGTCGGCAGGGGTTCAGTCAGGGCAGAGCGAGAAAGGGAGAGGGAGG